GCAGGGCTGGGCCACCCCGAGTCAATGGGTGGCCCAAACTTGGTCTCGACAGCCACTGGCTGAGCATTGGGCTCCTGGGAGCCTTGGCCATGCCTGGAGTGGATTCAATGCCTGAAAGCAGATCCGCCCCAGAGACACCTCGAACATAAGACGACGCACTGCCGCCGGCCGTGGCTCATCCCCCGGCCAGTGACTCCAGAACTAGCGAGGTTGATTTAGTGGCTTTTGTTTTTGGCACCTAGGGGGGCATTCACCCTCGGGCTCTGATGTCACTTCCTGCAGCCGTGCCTGAGATGGGCATCAGAGCACCGGTGTGGCCCTCTGATGACGTGCATGTCACAGCAAGAGAAGCCAGCCACCCCGAGCCTGGGTGGTGATGTGCCCGAGAGGGGCACTTAAACAAGGGTTTGGAGGGCAAAGATGCCCTTCTGACGGCCTGTGTGGCAGAGAAATAGAAGCTGGTCCTCCTGGAGCTAGGCTGTCTCGCCAGCAGCCTCCCTCAGGAAGAAGGCAGCATGGGCTGGCCAGGACATTGGCCCCCTCTGGGGACACCCAGAGCCTGCGCCGGGAGCCAGCCCATAGGGCCGCGGTGTGCCTTCCCAGCCAGGCCTGGGGGGCGCTTGGGGCTGCAGAGCCTCACCCTTGACAGGACCACTGAGGCTGAAGGGGAACGTCCCGCAGCTCCCCCTCCTGGAAAGCAGGGTCCTGCCGGACTCCAGTGACCTTAGCTGAAAGGACTTTCAGGGTCATAGCGGTGACCCTGCATCTCCACGCTGACTGCGCTGGAGAGGAACCACAGCACCCGCCGCACAGTGATCCTGTCGCTCTGCGGCCCCGGTTCTCGTCCAAATCACTTCCTCATCGCATTAGTTTTCTCTTTCCAGCTGTTACGCCGCGTGCGATCCAGTCCTGACACCCACAGGGCAAGGCTGGCATTTTGTCCGGGAAGGGCTCTGCCCTTTCCTCCACGAGTCTGGCCGGGTTTCCAACAGGTTCCAGACACAGTATTAAGCGGGTCATCACGTCCCATCTTGCCCAGCCAGGACACACATCCTGGTTTCCTGCCCTGCTTGCCTTTACTGTTTTCCGTTCTCGGTTCTAGAACTTTCTCTCAAACCGTCTTCTAGAGTTAACACTAAGATCGTGGCTTTTCTGTCCCTGTGTGTGCAGTGAGGTCTGCTTTCTGGCCACAGCCCGTGGCCTCCACGTGGCCTGCAGTTCCACCTGGCCCAGCTTTTGGCCCTGCTGCCAGAGTGGGCCGCGTGTTCTCGGTGTGCCGCCGCGTCAGGTGTGGTGTGCGTCAAGCTTCCTGTCGTGTGTGCTTGTCTCTGCATTGGTGTACCTACCTCATTTCCATTCTCTTCATCAGATTCCTTTGCCAGGGAAGCGAAGAGCAGTTGGGCAGAGAATGCAGCTATTGTTAGAAATAGATCCTTTCTTCTGTTCTGAAAGACTCTTCCTGTTGCTTTTGTTAGTTTTAAATACTTGCTAGAATTTGCAAAAGAAAGCACTTGTTTACCTGTGTCTTTACTTGAGCTCAGGGGTGTTGCCTCCCAGGAGCCCTGGTTCGGGCCACACCCCTTAGCCAGAGCTGGGTCCGGCTCAGCGCAGCCGCTGCTTGGATGTGATCGGGCCGCCCATGGAGGCTCTGCTGTGAAGTGCCAACAAGGGGCGATGGGAGTTTCCAGTTGATGTTGGAAGGAGGAGGGGGTCACCCACATTCAGTGCACTTGCCCCCACGAGTGGCACCACGTGAAGGTTTGTGGGCTCCTGGCTCCCCAGTGCAGCGCCCACCCCAGCACCACTAGGGAGCCTGGCCCAGTTTCGTCCTTGGCCTCCTGTGACCACCACCTGGGCCACTTGTGTCCCTGCTGCACACCCCCTAGACTTGAGGCAGCTTGATTGGGGCAGCTTGATTGGGTCTCCCTTTTCCCAGCCTGTCAAGGGCTCGTCGCATTGGGAACCGAGGCTGCTGCTTCCCCTGTTCTGGCCGAGTCCCACCTGGCCGTCAACGCCTGCTTGATGCGGCGCCTGCTGTTTGCTAAGATGGTGAGAAGCGACACCTCGCCAGCCGCTTTTCTGCGCGACCCTGTGTTGCCCCAGGAAATGCGTCCAGGCGCCTCCCGCCATTGCAGCTGCGGCACAACGGCCCACTAGCGCTGGTCCGCTCGCCTGCCGCCACGCTCAGCCCGGGCTGTGTGTTCACGCTCAAGAGGAAGATCCTCTCGGAAGCCGGCCCTCGGCCTCTCGGAAGCCGGCCCTCGGCACCCCCGCCTGTCAGTGCAGTAGCCCAGCCCCATGCAGCCACCTCGTGTGGCTGCTGCGTGCTCTCGTCTCTCCCGACCCTAACTCGTCTGTGTTACGGCACTTACTATCCTCAGCCTTGCACTAGCGCTTCGCCCCACGCCCCCACCCGGCAGATTGTGAGCTCTTACGAAGACAGGGGCGGCCCCTCCGTCTGAGTCCCCACCAGATCTAGCACAGTGCCTTGCCTCAAGTAGATTTCAATAAACATATGTTCAATGGCGCTGGCCTTCTCGAAGCTTCCTTCAGTGGTTCTTCCCTTGCTGCCTCCCACCCCAGCTGGAGGTGAGAGGTGCCCGATGAGCAGGTTGACTTTTCTGGAAGTCCAAAGAAGGCTGTCACTGGCCACGTGCCCTCACCCCAGCTGGGCCTTGCCCCGCAGCCTGAATTCCACACCGGCAGACCAGGCGTCTCTCTACTGCAAATGGGCTGACATGAGTGTTCCAGAGTGGGAGCATCAACTGGCATCTCTGGGTCAGGGGTGGGGGTCCTCTTGGTGGTCAGTGGCTAGCTTACTGCCCATTGACCATTTCCTCAGAAGAAGATCAGACCCTTGGCTTCCTGACCCTCCTAAATGCAAGTGGGGGCTCAACCACTGTCGGCTCCCAGGTCCTGGAGAGAAGCACGGAAAAAGTCCCAGGAGAGCTGGGGTTGGGCCTTCATGGGCCTTGATGTGCCGGTCAGGAGGAAGCAACGTTCTGGAAAGGAGCCAGAGGCCCCTCCAGCAGGCAGCCCGGCAGCCCACAGCTTCCCTGCAGGGCGCCCGCCTTGTGCTGGGTGTTCAGGGGCAGCTTCTGGGCAGGTGTGTGACTATCCATGGTGTTCTAGTGCCCGCCTCCATGCCCAGTGCGGACGCCTCTGGCAGCCGTTGGCTGAGGAGCTGTGATCACCTGTTTTGCCGCTTCCGGGACACGCTTGCTCCTGAGTGGACGCCTGCTCATCCTGAAAACGTGTGGCAAGCTCTGCTGTGCCCATCCAAGCAAGGCCACAGCTCCATTTGGGCAGTTAGTCCTTGGCCCAGTGGGGAGGGGACAGCCGGCTCCTCTCAGGATCCTGCGTACCTGCAGTAGGAGGTGGCTTTCTGCCCTGATAGTGCCCTCCCTTCCGGAATGTGGTAGCTTTGGAACACCACCCTCCTTTGAGGCCCCCAGAAGTCAGGCGTCCTTGCAGTTCATGGTCCCCACAACCCCACCGTAGGGCTGGTGTCTAGGCCTCCTCATTGCCCCAGCTCCAGCACTCCCCCGCCCCAGGCCATCTGTGCCCAGCTCCGCCCACCTGGGGAAGGAGGGCTGCCGTTGTCCTGGTTCACTCAGGCCGCGATGCGTGGCAAAACCACAGGCCGTGGCCTCATGGCAGATGTTTCTTCCTCACAGTTCTGCAGGCTGGAAGTGCAAGATTCAAGTGCCGCTAGGTTGGCACCATAAGGTTAAGGGCCTGTGTCTAGTTGGGGCCCTTTGCCCTCCTCACAGGCCTTCTCCCAGCGTCCACAACTGGCAAATGGGGTGAGCAGGCAGCCCGGGCCTCTTTTCTGCGTTGGTGAGGTCTACACCCGGGGGCTCCACACAGGCCCCGTGTGCAACGCCATCGCATGGAGGGTTTTCTGGGGATGAGCTGGGAGGGTACAAACCTGCAGACCACAGCAGGCTTGCTGCTCGCCCAGTCTCCTGACCCATTAGCCTGAAGCTTCCAGAACAGTGTCGGGCTCCACCCTCACCGCCCCTGCGGACACGATGCTTTCTGTGCTGCCCTGGTGGTTCGAGTCCCGGGTTAACACGCACCTCATGGCAACGGCCAACAAGTGGGGCTGCCCTGGCCTCACTACAGGGCGCTGTCGTGACTGGTGACGCAGCAGGATGCAGCGCAGCCATCGTGGTGGCCTGCACGAACCAAGAGGAGAAAGGCCAGCGTGTGCCCTGCCCACGGGTTTCGGGGCCCAGGGCAAGGGCTTCCCAGGTGGACACGTGGGTGACTTCCGTTTTCGCCTTGGTGAGCTGGGATTGGTTCCCACGTACACATGTTGTTGCTTGAATTAGAAGACTATAAAATATATATTATAAAAAACGATGACCCCTGACTTTTTTCAGGCTAGACAGGTCAGGAAAACTCTGCTCCCTCCCCACCCGTCACCCCTTTACTGCACAGGGTGGGACCCCGTGAGCTGCAGCCGCAGCCTGAGCCCCCCTGGCCCATCTGCCTCCACCCAGAGGGAAGCGGTGGAGATGACGGGCCAGATCATCCACTGGGTGCGGGAGGACCCGTCGGGGCTGGGCCACCACTGCCCGCCACCCCTTGAGGCCCCTCATCACCCACAATCACAGAACTGGGGACTGGTGGCCTCTTTTACATACAAGACATAAGCTGGGGTGAGGGCCAGGACCCCGGAGAACATGGAGGGCCCGGGGAGCCCACGCACACCCACCCTGTAGGCAGAGAGAGCCCGCAGGGCCGAGGGCCGGAAGGAGGCCCGAGCCCTGGGCACTGCGGGGTGGCTCCTGGCTGTGCTGCTCGGAGCAGGCGAGGCCGGCGCGTGCCTTGGGACTGGGTGGCTGGGTGCGGCCGCGTGCCGAGAAGCCCCAAGAACAGAAACTTGGCGCTCTGCACAGCTCAGCGGGAGGGCCCAGCAGGGTGGGGTGTGGGCACAACTGATGTCCCCCTCTTTGAGAAGCCTCACAGCACCCACCTGGCTGTGGAAAGCCATGGGAAGTGTATTTGGCCAGTGCTAGATGCCAAGGTCACATCCCAGAGGTCGCCATTGGGAAATGGACTTCGGAGATTTGAAATAATTCCAAAATCTATCTCAAAATAAACCCGCCTCAGTTTCCCTTTCCGCTGTCTGGCTCGCAGTGGCCCGTGTTTTGCAAGTCTCGGTCGCCTGCAGCCGGCTCGGTGGTGTGGGGGGATCCTCGGCCCTCTCCCCTTCTGGACGGACATTCGGGCGTCTGCAGATTTTCGCTAAGTTTGTCGAGGCCCCGTGGGACAGGAGCAGGCGGCCGCGGTGCAGGGCTCAGAGACGCGGGGATGGGCTTCTCAGCGCCAGCCTGAGGCCCGGGCCCAGGCGCCTCCAGACACCGACACTGCTCACACAGCTCCAGAGCCGCGCTCCTGGGGCCGGCGCGGGGTGTGGTGAGAAGCCTGGCGAGGCTGAGCGGCTACAACTTCCCGTCGTGGACACAAGCCCACAGCTGTGGCGACGCAGACGCCACACACATCCCCACCTCGCTGTGGCACTGGTGAGCAACGACCGCCTGCCCGGGGAGGCCGGGAAGTGGTCTGGCTGGGCCACTCAGCAAAGGGGAAAGAGCCCTGGGCGGGGACAGTGGAAGTTCTCCCCGCAGGTACCCGGGGGCCGCCTCACTGGGGCCGCCGGGCACAAGAGGAAGGAGTACCTGCCCACTTCTCTCGCAAGGAGCCTTGCCACGCGCGCAAGAGGGCCCGCACCTCCCAGCCTCGCCAACACTGGTGGACGGACATGGCAGCTCCCCGCTGCCCTGGCCCGGTCCTGGCTGCGGCCGTCACGAGCTGGAGCGGCTCTGCGTGCTGGTTGCTTCCGTGAGGTGCGCAGCCATCGGTCCGCCTTCCTGTCGGCTCGTTGCTCTTCCGCGTGGCTTGCGAGCGGCCTTCCCCTGCCAGACTCGTGCCTCCGCACCCTGCCCGCGTTCCCTGCCCGCGCACAGTGCGCCTGCGCTCGCCGGAGCTGTGGTTTTCATCTCTCTGCTGCCTCTTGTGCCTTGCTGAGACACCTTTATCCCAGGCTAGCACGACCGTGCCAGCACCAGGCTTTCCCCGATGAAAGCAAAACACCAAATTCATCGGGTGCAACAGAAGCGCCAGCTCCCCAGGAGTAAAGTCACCCAGAACAGAACAGGGTCTGACACCGGCGAGACAGCCACCGTCGCATGAACGGCAGGGGGTGCTGACACTAAGTGGCCAGGTTTCATCGGCCCTGTCACTGCTGCCTCAGTTCATGGGCTGACGTTACCGGCTCAGTGAACAGCAGCATCGTGTGTCGCTACATAACAGGCTCTCGGAAACCAGCGCGGACATCTTGCTTTTGGCCCAGAGGGGCTTGCCCGCCAGCTCACTGGTTCCCTTTAAAACCCTCCTGTGGTTTCCAGCAGGATCGCACTGCCGCTGTTAGGGCCTTCGGGGGCCGGGCGCCTTCCGAGGCTGCGTCTTTCTCCCTGAGAGCACGACACGTCACGTGCCTTCACCCCCCTTTGTGGCCCACAGAGAGTGTTTAGATTTTTCCTTTTCCTGGGCCCCAGGTGAGGCATTTTGTAGTTTGTCTTGCTCTTGTCATCGGATGTTTTAAAGCTCCTACTTGTTGCTGGCAAGGTCAAGCTTTAGGAGTGCCCACGTGATGACTTGCTGGGTGCAGGACATCTCTGCACAGCTTTTGCCCGGCAGCACCGGCGCCCAGATTTCCTCCTGGCCTCAGTGAGGGCGAGGCGTCCGTGACGGGAGAGGCAGGGGTGGTCAGAGCGGTGCTGCATCTCCTCAAACGCTTTCCTCCATCACTTGAAATGATCTATTCGTCTTTCCTCTTTGGCCAGCAGGGAAGTCAATGGCGTGAACGCCCAGCAGCGGAGCTCATTATATTAATCACTGCTGATATGGATGTGTCAGCACACCCTTAGGCCGCCCCTACCTGGCTGACGAACCGCGTGTTTGTGCTCACGACAGCTGCGTCTGCACCGAGCTTTTCCGCTGCTCTTAGTGCAGTTCGGGCGTCTCTACCGGCCTCACGGTGTGCATGCGGACACTTCTCATCTTTTCCAGTGCAGAAAAGCGTTCGGGCATCATGAGGACGACCTGTTTCTTTTCAGGCTCAGTAGATTAACAGAAAGCCCGGCGCCGTTTCTCCTCTGGATGTTGGCTTCTGCCAACTTTCTATTTCTTAGTCAATTGCTAGATCATGTTTCCCTAGAAAATTATCTACTTCAAGGTTTCCAATGGATCCACATAAAGTTGTGCGTGGCCTTTTCTTACATTTGCAGAGAAGCTACCCCTCTAGTTTCCCAGGACATTTATTCATTTCTCTGTCCTCTTTCCTCCTGACCAAATTTGCCACGAGTCTGTGCATTTCTTTATTTTTGGTCTTCCTGCTAGTCTGGGGCTTTTCTTATTTATTTCTTTCAGCTTAGTACTTTGGACTTGATGGATGGGACTTCTGCCTTTGGCCTTGAGGTTTTCTTCGGGACCGAGGAAAGAGAGCTGGTTTCGGATGAAGCCTCTGTATTCTCTGGCCCGGGGGCAGTCAGATAGCCGGGCATGTTAGGTCACGCCCATGACTGTGCTCTTTGAATCCTCTCTGCATTCTCACTTACTTTTGGTCTCCTGTCTCCTTGGTCTGCTGAGTCGTGACAGATGCACAGAAAGTCTCTCACTTTCCCTTTGAACCCCACCAGCTTCTTGCTTCACTGCAAGAGCCCGTGTTGGGCACAAAGTCCTGCCCACCTCAGGCCTCCCTCGTGTAGGACCATTCTGGCCCGCCCTGTGGAAGCTTTTCGCTTGGGTTCTGTTTTCCATGACAACAGCATTGCTCTCCCTGCTCGTAGTATTTTCCTCCCATGACTTCTGCCCGTTTAACTTGAGTTTCTCATGGTTTGTCTTGTGACAAGACCCTCAGTTTTCCGGGGGCAGCTATATGCCAACTTTCAAAACCCTTTGGCCTCCCTTGCTTTCTGCTGGTGTGTTGTCAAGGACAGTTTTCTGTGCTCTCTGGCTATGATCAAGTGACCATATTCTTTCGGCACCAGATAAAGGACTAGATAAAGGACTAGAGCCCCACCCCCTGGGCCCAGTGCGTCACCCCCGAAATCTCCTTCCTCTTCCCCTATAACCTGTGTGGTAACCATCTCCTGGCTTTTCTGTAGAGTCTTGCTACCTGGTTGCGCATCTGTCCATAAATGATCTGGTTGAATTTTGACCTGTGTAGAATTCCGTGTCTTGCTTCTTTTGCTCAGCTGTCTTTACAATTCACCCATGCGGCTGTGCACAGAGCACCCTGTCCGGTTCGTTACACAGGGTGCTCCACAGGGCGTCACAGGGCATGATGTTCTCACAGTGTGTGAGGCTTTTCTGCCCCAGCTGGATGTCTGGGTCGTTTTCCTCACCCAAATCCCAGGACAAACCGGTGACCACGTTAACAAAGTGCCACAAACTTGGTGGTTTACAACGATAGAAATACATCGTCTCCTGCTTCTGGAGCCCAGAGGTTTAAGATCAAGGCGTTTGCAGGGCCCTGCTCCCTCAGAAGACTGTAGGGGTGACCCTCCTGGTCTCTTCCAGCTTCTGGCCGCCACACATGGTATCCTTGGCTGGTGGCTTTGTCCCTCCCATCTGCCTCTGTGACCAAGGGCTTCTCTCTTGTCAGTCTCTGATTGCCAGCTGCCTTTCTGTGTAAGGACACTTGTCACCCGGGGCCATTGGGTAACCCAGGGGGCTCTCCTCTCAGATGTATCCTGAATCACATCTGAACAGACCCTTTCTCCAAGTCAGGCCACATTCACAGGGCCTGTGGGTCAGAATGTGGGCGAGCAGGGGCCCCACTGAACTGCCCACAGCCACCGTCCCCTGTTGACAGGAGCCTGCCCCAAATCTCTCCAGTTTGTCCACTTGGCAGGGAGACGCAGGGCCATGGGGGAAACGCTTCTTCGCTTGTCCTTCAAAATGCCTGTTGTGCGATGTGCGCATGTGTGAGCTACCGGCCTGCCGCTGCGCGAGTCAGGCGCCAGTGGCCGTGCTATTCGCTTACCGTGCCTGGTGAGAAGTGACAGTCGCACCTTTCAGAGGCTGGTGGGCCATCTGAGTTCTGTTGTGCGAAAGATGTTCAGCCTGTGGCCTATTTTCCTAGCAACTTCTTTATCCCTTTCTTATTTGGTTCCATCTTCCAGCTGTGAGAGCATTGTCAGTCATAAGTGTCTTTTCTCTCCTCCAGCTCTTCCATCAGCATCTCTCACGTGGCCCTCCTCACTGAAGCCGCAGGAAGGGCACTCTGCGGCATGCAGTGTGAGGGAATCAAACTGACGCATCCGAACGCCACCCCGCTCCCTTTAGGTGACTGTCCTCAAGGTGACTTATGTGTGCCATCTGTCCCTGTCAGGAACAATCAAACGCTTCCCAATTTCCATTGTGTTATCGCTCTTGAACCGTAGGTTACCTGAACATGTTTTTCTCCATTTCTAACGCGTGGGGACTTTTCTGGCTACTTCCCACCAAAGACCGACAGGAACACAAGGCGGGCGAATGGCGGGAACCTGCAGTGCTCCGGGGAGCTGAGGGCAAGGGGGAAGATGCTGTCACGAGATCTGGACTTTGCTTGGGTGCCGGCGAGGTGGGGAGCTGTCCGGGAGCA